TATTAAATGCTTTGCAGTCAAATACTGAAGCTTAACCTGAGTGGGATTAGGTACAAAGTGAGCAAAGAGTGCTGCTGTTCCCAAGATAATGGCCCCCAAACCACTTGCATGACTTTGTGTAGAGGGAATGGCTTCATCTTCAGTCAAGACTGAGGTGGTTGATTCTACCTGAAGGTGGTTGATTGAGAAGAGAAGCAGTCTTCTAGAAGCAGCCTGGGCGGTGTCATGCAGACCCCTTATATCCTGTCTTGTATAAATTCCTGTTTATGTAACAGGAATGCTAATAACATACTCCAAAATAATTTTTGTAGAGGCAATGAAACCTCTGAAGTTAAAGCACCCAAAGCGGAAGCAAACTCTGCTGTAAAGAGTCACGAAAAACCAAACCTATCAGAATGAGTGGTGTGCATTTTATTCTAATAAATTTCCTTTGTAATATTTTGGTCCAGGCAATAGAATATTTACAAAACATAAAAAGAAGAAAATGAGCAAGCCTTAAACACTTCTGCCTTGTATGTATTCACACATTTTTTAAACATAGAGAAAAAAACAAGCGTGGTACTTTTCAAATCATTTTTATTAACAACAATATGGATTCAACTTGTCAAGAAGTTACAATTAACATTGTAATGTATAGGCTAATGCCATTGCAGTGTCAGTGGAAGCAGCCTTCATACTTTCTGAACATGTTACAAAACTGGCTTTTTAACATTCAAAGAAGTCTAAAATGCTTCCAGTAGCAGATGATATTGGATATGTCTGAAATTGTCCTATGTGTAGCTGAATGAATGGCCACATTTGCATCCAATTAATGAACAGGAAAATACTACATGCTTCCACTGACGCTGCAGTGGATGATACTGATTTCAAAAAACGTTTAACCCCTTTAGACAGTGACAGCACTTTGTGTGATGTTGTAATCCATTGGAATTGAGTCGATTAACACACTGGAAAAAAAATGTGAAGCAGAAATACCTGGGACAAATTCTCACCTGACCTGTATCTCATTCAAACCTAATGAAACCAAAAGGATTGCATGACCTATGAGTCAGGATAAAGTTGGCCCAGAGAGGCAAGTTTGTTCCTGGTATAGGTGGGTTCAGTTCCAGTAAGGTTAATGGAACTGAGCCTAAATACCCAATAAAGGCTGAACTTCACCCAAGCGTGGAGTCACTGAAGTCAGTGAAGTCATCGTAGGAGAAAATGTGCCTCAKGTGTTTAAACCGTTTTTGTCTTTTCTTTTTGTTTCAATCCTTTGCTTTCACATTGGCTTTTCATGGTTATTCCTCTCTTCTGATTGTTCTTTTCTCTGTGCTTTTTTTTTTTTTTTTAAAAAAGTCCCTTCTTCCCTTTTTACCTTAGTATTTTGTGCGTTATTTTTATATAGTCAATGTGACATGGGTAAATTCAGCTAAATATTAAGTTTCCTCAGGAAATAACTGGAATATTACCATTTTCACTTTAAACAGATGCCCAACAAAATCAGGATTTGAATCTGAGCTCTCGATTCAAGCAATATTCTTACTGCAGTCAGTAGAATTTTTGTTTGAGTAAGGAGTGCAGGTCCCAATACAGAAATACTACTGTACACCAGGTGTTCTACTATACATTAGTAATTCAGTATGATTTGACTTATCTCGGAAGAGCAGGTGAATTACTCATCACCATACTATCATGAGAGCAGTCACTTTGTAGGATTATCTCAAAAACATACGTAACAACTGTGGGCACTGTGAATAAAAGTGTATGATCTTTGCAATCTTGAACCCTAGGCTAAAACACTATATTCATATTTAAATAAAAAGTATAGATCATATAAGCCAGGAGCAAATACAAATTTTTCAACAAATAGTCATCATCAAAACTATGCTTTTCAGTTCTCTCTTCAGTCAGGTACAGAAACATGCTGATCAGAAAACAGKTATTTGCGTAAGGCTTAATTCCTGAAGCTCTTACTTAGGTTCAATTCTCTCTTCAACAGTCCTCCAGTAGAGTGTAAATAACAGCAAAATGTTGTCTTCTGACCCTACTCATGAAAAATTCCTATTAGCTCTCATGAGCTTGAGTTTATTAAGCAGCTCCAGACAAGACTTGAAAAGCCAGACAGGTCCTTCTTTTGTGAAACCAATGAATGACTGACAGTCATGACACTGTATTTAGGGAGCATGGAAACAGGAAACTCTTGAGGAAATATGAGCGAAGCTCATAAAAAAATTCAAACAAACAATTCTTCCTCTCCAGAATTGAATATATTCACTATTCTTTCTATTTTCTAGCAATATAATGTTAACAGATGCCCATACGATAAGACTTGCAGCTACAAAAATAATAATGGTGAGCATAAAACAAACAAAAAAAGGATCTTAAATCATAACATGAAGAGATACGATCTTCTGGATTTTGTAAAGACACTAACATTTTCGTACATAATTTATAGAATTATTTTTCTTTTGTGCACAAAATTGTATTAAATAAATTAACTTAAAATTAGAAGGACTCAAGCATGTCATTTAAGGCAAAAATACCAAGTTCAGTGAGATAAATCATCAGCAAAACCCAAAGCCCAGCTTCTGGTACAGTCAGAGCCAACACAGAGTTCTCCCATTGACTCCATCCAGGCTCAATGGGGGTGCAACGATCCGCTCATGGACATGAAGGTTTGGAGTCCAATTCGTGATGCCTTCGTTTTTCTACCCAGTGGGGGAGTGGGGGTGAGTTTCATTAGTGACACAGAGGTACCATGTGCCTCATCTCTTGCTCCTTAACCTAAGTACAGGTTTGCGTTTAGGCCAGCAAGAGGCTTCATATGAGAGGAAAGAAAGGCACCAAGAACCGTTGGGGGAAAGAAAGAGAAGACCTGAAGCTTTTCAGCTGTAAAATTTTGTATAGTATTTTAAATATACAGATTTGTCTGGATAAAGGGCAGTCATTCAGGTAAGTTATAGCTAAATCAACTGAGATATGGAAAAAAAAAACCTATTTACCCACAAAATGACCGTTGCAGTCAGCGTCTAGGACGACCAGCCTGCACTGTATAAAGAAAACAGCAAAGGCTGAATGTGGTAAATCATATGGCAAAATAGTGGTGAGGAAATTGTGCTTTAAGGTGTCTTTCGGAAGGGAACGGGTGAGCTTTGCTCCAGCGTCAGCCGCGGAGCGCGGCGCGCCATCCATGGCCCCCTGCAACCACATGCTAGACACACGCGGCAGTTTGCATCTACTTTCACACAGCAAGGTTGTCGGGTAACATCCAAGGTGTCGGGAGACACGGGAGCAGAAATTACAGTGGTTTCCGAGCAAACATCAAGTCCTTCATGATACAATCTACAGCATTTAGCCATGATTAAGACTGGAGTGACGCTTTTGATGAACACCAGAGGTTCCCAGCGGGTCTGGGCCTTGAGGAAACACTGCCCTTAGTGAGCTGGGCCTAACGCCCTCGCACGTTCTGTGCTCCGGTCGCTAGAGGGAAGCGGAGCTCACATCAGGTTGCCCACAACAAGCCTGCGGTGCAGGTGGGGTTATGAATTTGGGGTGGAAACAACAGAAACCTCGTGTAGTTGGGAAGAGCTAAAGCCTCCTCAGGGCTCTTTGAGCAGTGAAGCCTCATTGGGTTGGGATGGGTAGGCATGGACACGGCTCCCGCATCCCAGCACAGGGGAGGCGTAGGGAGCGCAAGAGGGAGGGCGCACGAAGCAGCGACGCTCAGTCTGGTGTAGGCTGTGAAATTTAAARCTTGGGTGTTGGGAGGGAGGAGTCTGTAGGTCCTTTCTTGGAAAGTTCATTAGAAATGACTACAGTTGGGTTACAGTGTTGAGCTGTAAGACTGTGAACACTTTTCTTTCCTCCTCCTCTTTTATTAAAAAAAAAAAAAAACTGCCTTCGGTTTGTTCACTTAAATGTTTTTTTCTCTACCATTACTTCCTTTTTTGAATACCCTGCATGGCCTTTTTTTTTCTTTTTTTTCTTTTTTTTTTTTGGAATAGCACTTGAAATCTGTGACTGTGAGGCTGGAATTTAAAAGATCTTTTCCATCTTTACCTCCCTTATTTTATTCTTTGGGATCATTTCCTTTCCCACCCATCTAAATCCATATTTTTTTTCCTTCACTCATTGTGTTTTTTTTCTCTCTTCCCTGTCCTATTCTCTTTCCCACTTCATTTCAGAGGAATTGTATTGAAGTTCCTCATTTTCCTTCCTTTCMCAGACTTAGGAAGTGCTGCCATGGAATCAGGTTGTGGCAGTGAGCAAAACTGCTGAAATTTTCACAGAAGGAAATACTGCTTCTACAGTAAAGGCAGTGCCTGCTCTGCACCCTGGCATGCTGCGGCCAAGGTATTTCAGACACACATGATAAATCCTCAATAAGACTGGAAGAAGAAATTCTCATGAATTTCTAGTGCAGTTGTCCAAATTCTCCTCTTCTGAGGCTAACCCCTCAGCTTCTCCTAGCATAAGAATGGTCTCATTTTAAAGCACAACCTGAAAGTAGCGTGTCAAGTACTTCTGCCACAACACTAAATCACCCCAAATTAGACAGATACTAACATTCTGTTTTTTTAAAGTAATAATGTTTATATCTTGCAACTGGCAGCCATTTCTAGTCCCATATTACCGGTTTCCTTGGTACCTTGCTAGCAGCTGTAGATATTTTTTTGTTGTAAACATAAACTATCATCTAAATCAGGACATACATATATTTTTTTAATTAGTTCAGAAGCAAAGTGCTTTAAAACTTAGGATTTTTACTTCTGCCTGTAGAAACGGCACTAGGTCTAAATGCTCAAGATTTTGCTTTTTGATACATCCTGCAGCATTAGCTTTGTTGATAACTTGTTATTTAAACCTACTGTACTACAAGAAAGGCTGCTGTACTGTAGGTATAAATATGAATTGTAGCCATCACTTAAACATGCATTTTCATGCAACTAGAAGATATGGGCTCATTCAACTGCCTTTTGGATTCATCCTGATTTTTGTGACTTTCTCTTATTAAAAAGGCTCTCAAAATAGTTCATGCTATGATATGTATGCCTAGAGGAATTACCCAGCCAATGAAGAACGCCCACAAGCTGCTATTTGAGTTTGACATGGAGCAGACTGAGTGCTTCTGTACCGTCCCCTGGCTTGCAAATGTTTTGAGATGATCTTGATATTCCAGTCCTTAGAGAGTCAGTAGAGAGAGTTGTTTCCACTAATGGGCGAGAGATGGCTTCAGAAGTCTCTGATCCTGCCTCTGTTTCCAACTCTTCATCAGTTATAAATAATTTTGACTCCCTCCACTTGGAGTATATGTCTTGGCTACCTCTGGAACCGCTGGAGTCACTACCAGCAATCTGTACATTCAGTTCTTCTGAGGACTGTATAAGATTTTGTACAGATAAAGATTTTCCTAAATCCATTTGCGCCACAGGTTTAACTGAGAGCAAAGGTTCTCCCTCTGCATCGAAACTCTTTCTCCATGCGAGATCCTTTGCTGCACTGGGCTGCGCAACTTGTCCGTTATCCTTTGATGCAACAAGGCAAGCGGTGACATCGGAAATATTTTCCTGCGTGGTTACAGGGATTATATGAACGGGCTCAGGCCTGCTGATATGCTTCATTGATGAGAAAGGTGGTATCTGTAATGTTGTGGGAGTTGCTGGCTTAGATGCCTGGTTTATTTGGTTTGATGAATTACTAACCGTTGTAGGTCCATCATTTGGCACTTGCGTCGCTTGACTATGCACACCTGGACTAAAAGCATAGTAAGCCTGAGTGCTAAATTCATTTGGTGTCAGTATAAGCTGTAGGCCACGAGGCAGATTGGCACTAGCTGATCTGGATACACATCCACTAATTTGTGCAGAATTAGACAAATCTTTGCTGTCTGCTGGACTTTGATAATCAGAAGTCTGCTCACARTCAAAAGCTGGCATTTGAAGTGAAGCCAAAGTCAGCGCTGAAGCGGATCCTTTTCGTAAAACTTGTTGATAAATATCTAACAGACAGTCCAGTTTTGATTCAATGGATTGAACCTACAGGTGGAGAGGAAAAGGTTAATGTTAGTGAAAAATACTAATTCAAAATATTTGGAAAAAAAAATAAACATGCAAAGAGAAAATATAACTCCTGAGGAGAAAAGAAGTTAGAGGTTTAATCTGATGATTCTTTTCCTATAAATAGAAGGTAGTGATTTTTGAAATATAATGCTTTGAAAACTTTGGGGCTATAGATTTTTCATAAACTAAAATAGGGGAAAATAGTATTTTGTGATTTTTCATTTTTTACATTTTAGTACATAGAACACAGAGTAAAACAATCTATGTTTTATTTCAATATGTAAATAGTGCAGATATCCTATGAAAATATTTTACCTATTCAACATCTGAAACTGTCAATAAAGCACAGCAGAAAAGACAAAAGGCAATTACCTGCTTCTCCACCTTGACTACACGCCCTAACATGCTAAGATCATCAGTTGTCTCATTCTCTGCAGTATTCTTTTCTCTGCTTCTTTTATCTGCTGTGATTTGTCCTTTTCCAAGAATTTGGTCGACGCTGTAAGAGAATTAAAGGCTGCTAAAATTTCTGAAAACTGTGATACTATGKAGCTGTTCACTGTGTATATACATTAAAAATTAGAACCACAGGATGTCAGAAGGGTACCCAAGAAGGAGTATAAACTTTTGGTCTAAAGTTTGGTATAAAGTTTTGGTCTGAAAACAATTCTGGGTGTTCTGGTTACTATTCATTATAGCTCCAGTAGGCAACTGTGATCAAGCGTTTAGAGGAAATACCTTGATTTCTTTGCTTCTAGATAAACATTTTCAAACATATAAAAATTAAAAAAGGGGGGGAATAGCATGAAAGCAGTTTATTGAACAGGTCATGCTGAGACAGTGCGAAGTTCCCCTGGGTTTGGGAGCCTGGTTGTTCCTATTTGGGGTCCCTATTTTGTTCCCACTTGTGTCCCATCGGCAGCCACTGAGGTCTCCTGGGCCTGGTCACTGGACTAGACATTGGGCGTCCTGCAGGGATTCCCATTTCTTGGAGCAGAGACTGGCACTGACGACTGGACACGAAGACCTGGCACAACTGAAGTTACATCATTACAGCCCATTTGAAGTTAATGGAATGAAAAAAGAGAAAGAATTTATGAGAAAGCTTTAAAGGAGGTGAAGCCAGGGCTAGATTTACGGAGGGTAGGAGAGGTGGTGGCCTCAACGTTAGCTGATGTTGGGGAGAACAGACGGGGCAGCTCTCAGTGTTGACCTCAGCCTTTTGGCAACCTCCTGGCTACGTTTCTTCTTTATGAATGAAGATCATAGCTAAAGGATTACATTTTCTATAGAGCTATGCTCAGGCTTTCATATTCTGGGGACAACTTAGATGCTTTTTATTTATCTGTTTATTTTTCTAGATTTCACCCACAAATTTAATTTCTGGATCAGTCAGGTTCACAGAGAGTCTTGATTGAAGCATGGATGGGAATTTAACACAGAAATGTGTTACCAATATTCATCATGCAGTGACTGATGTAGCAGGATGCTTGTGTAGAGCAGATCAAAGATGATTCTTTCCTTACCGTGACTGAAGGCTTTTAATTCTGCATAACATATCTAGATGACCCGCTGAGTACTGTTCAATGACATCTTTAACATCATATGGGCGAAGTGTTTCCTTAAACTTCCTCTTCGCAACATGAAATTTCATAATTCTGCAGGGAAAAAGCATTTCCCATATTAACCTTCAAAACAGGYGTGAAACAATGCAATAGATTTAAATGTCAAAACATCAACAGCTCATTTCTTTTAACAGCGAGGATATTTTCTTCAGAACAGACTTATACAAGCAAAATACTCCTTTTACRAAATTTGCCTTTATAAGCACAAATGCATTGCTGTTATTCCTTTGGATTCTTATATAAGAGACATGATTTTGAAGAATGTAGAGCATCTTCCATTTACCACTTTACATCTACCTTGCTTTTTTTATGCTCAATGCCTATTTGAAAGGTATTGAGATGCAGAACTAACTAAAGCCTGTGGTTAGCCCCAGTGACSTGAGTGAGACTGTCCAGTGACCTGAGTGGCATTATCCATATCCTTTAAGCTACACTTGTTCTTAAGCCACTTTCTAAGTCACAGCATGAGTATCATGTGCTTTTTCATGTCACTTCCAAGCTTGGAATGAATGATCCTTTTATTCCTTTTTTTTTTTGCTTCCTTAGAAAGCTGTGTCTTTGGTTAGTAAATGCCCTTTGTATTTTGCACATTTGGTTTACTGGTTCTGAATAATTATCATAAAGCCTGACAGGTTGTTCACAGACCTTCCCGTAAAGATAAATGTGTGCATATGAAAAAATGCAGATTATTTTAAGGAAAGTTTGCATTGTATCTACTTAATAGCAATCTACTTAATATGCAAGGCATATCCCTTAATTCTGTTTCCAGCAATCAGAATCAATATCCATACACTTCAAAATAGAGGTAGGTAGCTCTTGCAAATCACTTACATGAACATAAATGCCATTCTTCTTCTTCTGGTGTTCTTTTAAAGCTCCTTGCTTTCCATTTTGAAAAGTTTTTGAATTTATGTACCTGATCTATTTTCATCTTTTTGTGCTTTAATTATCATTCCATCTTATGTTTTCTTTTAAATGTTTTATTTTCCTGATTTCCTGATCAAATTTGCAGTCTGGGAAGTTTTCATGTGTATCTCATATTGAGTGTGTCTGTGAGAATGACTGTTTAACAGAATTGCTGCTTTTCTTTCTTGAATTTTACTGCAAAATAGTGGGACTGATATAATACTAAGTATACAGAATTTAAGAATGCTGTATGCTTTTATGTGAGACTTGTACACATTTTTAGTAATATATGGAAATGCAATGTTCATTGAGAAACTTTTCTTTTTTTTTTTAGAATTTAAAGCTTGATATTAAATCAGGCTTGGTATTAAATCAGTCAAATTAAATTTGTGGACACAAATCTTGAAGGCAAATGACAGTGACCAGATTTACCAAGTCAGCTAATAGCACCTGTGACTCATTCATTTAAAGGAAAATCTGAGGAGATTCGGCACCTTGGAAGAGCAAGTATGGATGCTGTTCTTGTTGGTGTTACAGAATGCGTGACTACTTATAAAAAGCAAGGTCAATAAATTGCTAGCTAGTTCCGCATCTGAAAGTTTATTAAATTATGTATTTATCGGCTGCAAGACATTGAATGACAGGGARAACTCTCATCCATGTTTCTCACTCTATGATAAAGGTAGTTTAGCAGTTCTTAAGTGAAATGTSAGGAAAGAAACATACTTTATATAATTAGAGCATTCTGRTAATAGTTATGTGGAGTCAGCTTAATAGTATATACTGATCCTCTGCTGAATTCTGTATTATATACAAATATTCTTCCAAAGAATATCGGTCTTTTGCTATAGTGTGTAAGTTGTTAATTTGTCCCACTCTGATAACTTCTGATGTAAAATGCAAATGTTTGTCACTGGTATAGAGCTTGAAATACAATTTTGGTTACAAAAGTAAAAATGGAAAAGAGMTAGGAATATTCCGTCACCTTGACAGTTCAGAATCTATCTCCATAAAGTTTTAAATATGCTAAATGATACACTTTCCCCTTTTCCTTTGTGAGACTTTTCCATAGGCTTTGGTGTCTTTTATAATCCCAAGGTCTCTGAAAGTGTCATCTGGATTTTTCCCTTTTAGCTGTCAAAGGCTGCCAAGATGATCTGTCCATAACGGTCTAGTAGCACAGAGAGTCTCCTGGGAATCTCGTTCTTTATTCAGGTTATGAAGAATATGAAGAATGAAGGAATGTMGTTGACATACAAGAAAGTATTGTTCTTAAATTATTATTTTATCTATTTTGGTGGTGACAATTTGTTTATTCCATGCTCTTGATAAAGTAAAATCAAGAAACTCAATTAGAAAAGTGGAGCCAGAGAATTAGTAGCATAAGTGGATTTCCCACAAAACCAGGTGCTTCTGCGAGACCTCATGAAACTAATAAAAAAATGATAAAAACTATTTCTTATCAACAGCCATAGAAACTTCTTAATCAGCTTGCACAAAAATCCTTATTGTTGTTTGGCAGCTTTATAACAGGTTTTGGGTTGTCAGGCAGTGTGTTCATAGTGTTCAGAAGATAAACCCAGGGCTGAAAGTAGCCTGGCTTTATCAGCGAGGTGCAAGTCCATTCCTGCTTCAGGTGTTAGCTCGTATCATGCCATCTTAATTAACTCAGCGGGCTTTGGGAAAGGCTCTGGTCGCATACTTGCCTTTGCTTCCAATCTTTATGCTTTACATAAACKGTGCAAAAATGAAGGGTTAAAGAAGACTGGTATTATAAAAGCCTGGAAGTTACTAGAAATATAAAATCTCAATTCTTTCAGCACTGGAACTCAGCAACTGCTTGTAGATATTAGGTTTTGTTTATTCTTCAGATTAATTAGTCTCACAAGCTCAATCTTCTTCCTGTATCTTGAATTAACTATGCAGCTGAGCTTAATAGGTCTCAACAACCATCATGAAAGATTATTAGCACTATATAGAGAATGAGTAAAAAAATGAGCACGAAGTTATCCTTAGCTCCAATATCCTAAGTACTGTCCCTTAACACAACCAGTAAGCRTAGGACCGGGCCCGTCTTTTCCAGTTACACCACTAGGGGGCAAAAAAGACTCATCCTAAACTCAACTGAGGTAAGAAAAAGGCAAAGAAAATTGTTTCCACTAAGTGCAGGGAGACTGGTCAACACTGTCTTCTCTCCCCAGCCTCTCCTCTAAGCCTAACTCACAGCCTAGGAGCCAAAGCCAAGCTGTTCTCCCAAGCACGATGCTCTATTAGCCAGACACATCTAATAGCCACATCGAAGCACTGAAGAACGTCTGGAGGGAAAATGCCAAATATATTGTGATTTAAAACAAGTAGAGGGTTCTGAAACAGCACCATAAAACAATTCATGCTGTCTGATAAGAGAGAAAATGTGTTTTATAGCATAGCAAAAGCAGATTTCAAAGAAAACAAAACCAGACATAAACAGTAAATTATATTTTCCCTCTTTGGCTATGAAATATGTATGACTGTATTACTGCATAACTTATCAGCTCAGGAATTCTGAGGTGTCATTATACTTAGCTGCATTATTATTATTATTAACAACAAATGAAAAAATATCTATGCAATATCTATGCAACTAGAGTTAAGGATGGAAAAGACTTCTCAGGTCAACAAGTTCATCTTACTGCCACTGCAGTTATTCCCTATCGCATATTTACTTACGCCTCTCAAATTTAATTTTATATTCTGTAAGTAATGAAATAATTCCATCCTTTTCATTGAGGGGAATATTACAGAATTTAGTGCCTCTTGCTATCAGAAATGATCAGAGATAATATATGGAAACAAGGCACCCTTCTTTTTAGTCTCTTTTATATACCTTCATAATTGCAAACTAACAGAGATAGCTGAAAAAAAAATGTGATTTTTTTTGCTGGGCTTCAGGAACTCTGACTGCAGGATATTAAGAGCTTTGTGTTCACAACAAGACTAGGGCTTGCTGGCTACTACTACAMAGGCTGCTGACACAAAGGCTCAATATACCACAAGCTTTAGGCATATTTGTCTTCTGTTTTCTGCTCTTGCTATACTGCAAGGGTTTTGCAAACAGCTCTTTGATACCAACCTAAGTTAGAATCAAACAGTAACTGGGCTCTTCTGCTGCAGGAGAGGCTGGGAACTTCTCTTGGAGAGTGCCAGTGTTTGGGGAAAACTGCAACAGTCTGCAGGAAAGACTATTTCCTCCATTCCCCAGTCTGATCACTTCAGAATGAAAGTGTTTTGGGGAGAGATATTTGTTTAAAATCAAAAGGCTGTTCTGACCAGTAAGTAGCCTTAGGGGAAAAAAGCCCTAAAATACTAAATAAATAAGGTCAACATTAAAGTGCCTCACTAAAATTACGGAAATGACACATTACAACTAACCCAATTTTTGTCTTGTGCTATTTCAAGGCTGCTGCACCTGAGACAAATAGGCATATGCTGAGCTGCATTTAGAGAAAAAAAGAGTTCCCTCTCATTCCAAAATTGTGAGAGGCCTTGCCCCTGCTAGCCACAGGCATGAGTTAATTTTGCTAAGTTCATTTCCCCCCAATAAAAGGAAGATTTATATTATTATAGAACAGCTTGGACTCCATTCTGAGCAGGAAAAAATAATTAGTTTCCCTTAGTGCAGTTTTGGAGGTGATGCAACCAGAATGGATTGAGCTGTGTGTGCTTTTCACATGTTTTGGTGAGCCTGGAAGCTGCTCATGTATCTTCTGTCTCCTTCTGCACCAGCATGCAACGACAAGCAGCCTCAGCCCTCCCCCAATTTCTTTGCAATGCAAAGTCCTCGCTAAAAACAAACTTCAAAACGAGGAACACAGGACGAAGTTTCCATATAGACAGATGCTATCATCCTGAAATTCTACAGTTACTATATAGTGTCCCAGATTCTTCTTCAGATGCTTGCATAGATCTTAGTGTGGTCAGGTAACTGACACTCTGAATAACAAGAAAGAGGGGTATCATCTAACTCACGAACCAAATTATCTTTCTCTTAAATTTGAAAGATAAAGATATAGCTTTTAATAGCCTTTTTTTTGGAAATAGCTGCATATTAGTGCTTTCGAGACCTTGAACAAAGACATGTTTCTGAAGCAGCATGTGTATGTGGCTCACAATCCAGTAAAGCGCCCCATAGCATTTGGAGGGAGAGAGGGGAGACATTCACTGGTAATTGATAACAAGGGCTGATGCAAAACCCGTATTCTCAACCTCAGTGATGAAAGGGATTGAGCTTTGGTAAATCAGGGGCATAGAGGAAAAGTTGGACATAATATAAAAACTTTACTCTTATCAGTGAAATAGTACATGCCTGGAACAAAGACTGTTGTGAAATTGGTCTTATTAGAACATTTCTGTGCAGGACGCTGGGGAGGAAGTTCAGTGATCAGGACCTTCCAATTCAGTGGCTTTCCATATGTGCTGATAATTACCAAGAACTCCAAAAAGAGACTAASGCAACATCATACTTTGAATGATCCAGTAGTGCCTTTAAAAAGAGGCTCAGTGGATTTAGTTAGTATTTAAAAGTCAAGTAGGAGGCCTTAAAGAACTTGGACAGCATTAAGAATGAGATGACTATTGGTGTCACTTGCTAATATAGTGACCTTGGAGCCAAGAGTCAAGCAGTCTGTTTAAAATTGCAACATCACAGACAAGGATCTTGGTATCAGAGCCAAGTGATGAGGCTGATGTTCCTAATTTGAGCATTTTCCGTTTGAAGGAAGGGTGGATGGGTGTCCCACGTGTASGGATGGGTGTCGTGGCTGGGTGTCCCATGTATAGAAGGATTTCCTTCTGCTGTTGAAGCACCGTTAGCAAGAGATGGTTCTCAGCAGTGACATTTGAGTGGTCAGTGGCAATGGCTGTGCATATGGACCTTGCATCTGACATGTCCTTTGGACTCGTTTCCAGGCAGATTGGAAAGGTGGTTGGAATGGATGTGGGCAAATGACCTGTAAAGGTGTCCTGCTTGGTAGAAAACTTTAGAAACAGCCTTACTGTCCGACTTCATTGGCAATCAGTGGAAAAAGGGGAAGGACATACAAGCAGCCTGTAGTCATCACCGTATGCAACTATTTGATAATGAGCTGCAGTTCCTTCTTCCCAGCGTGCTGAGAGGACTAACGCAAGAGTCTCCCTTCAGGAAAGCACCATCTTTCCCAKGGATTTCTGCCCAAATCCCTCGTGGTCGCTGCCTAAGAGCAGTGCCAGGTCACTGATGCAGCAGTGATAGGAGGCCAGCGAAGTGACCCCCAGTAGCAACATCAGGCTTGCAGGCAGCAGGGAGGCAGCCACACAGCTCCCTTTGCTTCTTGATTTATACTTTTACTGTGGGAATCTTGCCTGTCAAGATTTGCACTTCAAAATATTCAGCAAGATTAGGAGCCTTGGCAGTCTCTGGAGAGTGAATGCTAAGTTCAAGCTTTTGATATAGGGTAATTTTGTAAGTTTTAATGCAGTTTGCTACTTTCTTGAGAGAGAAAGAAACTGTTAGTTGTAAATTTTGGGGGTTATTTAGTTTGACAGATAGTGGTAGGTAAGGCTTTGCACAACTGGAAGAATAGAGCTATCCTGCAGAAGAAAGGTGCATCATAATAGAAGTCATATGACAGTTTCAGAAATACGGAAATAAAATAAAAATGCAAACTTATTAACTAATAGGAAATAACTTTTCCAGGCAAGGTGGTGCACTTTCAACTAGATCAAAAATGGATTATAGCACTTTGGATTACAGGAAATATACTGGGTGTCAGGATTCATTATTTTCCTTCTTATTTGAGTCAAATTATACATTTTTTTTTAGACTTGTAAGATGATTAACAGAACTCTTAAAGTATTTCAATTCTTAATAAAAACACTGAGGAAAAGGAAGGACAAACTAACTATACTATATACCTATAAAATAACTATATACCAAACYGACTAGTGATGTAACAAAGCCATGTAAGAAGTTCACTGTGTTATTAATTGACATTAATTAATACGAAAATTACAGAAATCTCCGATATTTAGTCACTTAGCATTTTTCACTCACCTGATTGCTCGGATGACAGTTTTAAGAGCAGGGGTCAGATCTTCTACTGATACATCACACTGGCACCCTTTATCGTCATAAACATCATCTGTTCCCAGTGTCGTGTCAGCTGCAAAATGCAAGAAAAGACCAAACAAGAAGCATTTAGAAAACTTTTCCTTGTGTATTTTTTTTCTAACTGAATAATGGTTCTGGAAAAAATACAAATCAAAGTAAGACCAAGCTTGATGGATTGTATTGATGCACTTGTCTGTGTTTGCACTTGTGTCATGAAAGGACCAGACAGCCCACACAGCAGAACCATGTGCCAAGCAGACTGATAGAGGGTAGAAGTGAGGAAGAGCCCTGTTATTCTTCAGCTTGTCAGAACAGTGTAGTACCAGTGTGTACCTTCCTCGCCTCCAACTTTGTTTTCACCAAAATCACTGTTTTAAGTGCTGAGCTAACGTATGTGGTGGCAGAATCAAAAGGCATTGAAGTTGGATTTTTTTTTTTGTTTTATCACCATGAATGAACATGACATTTAAGACAAAGCAGGAGATCCATTTCATTTACTGTGGAGGCAGTGGAATGATCCAACATTTTAATACAGGTAGAATAAATGAAATACCTTTTTGGCAGAAATCAATAGTGTATGACATCCATCATGAATCAACTGCCACCTCTTAAATTTCTCAGCCATGTAAATACTGCACTTTGCCTTTGAAATGGGATCTTAAGCCAAGTTTCGGAATCTATTTGCCTGAAAGAAATTGATCCTCTTTCCTTTCCTAACTCTGCTCCCATTTACAAATTAATTAGAGGTCCCAGCAGTGCTCCAGTACAGCAAATGCAGCACACAGGGATGGATGTACAACCAGAATGGCTCACAAGCCTCCAGTGGCCCGGAGTGGGAACGTAGCAGGAGGAAAACAACACTATATCCCAGTAAGTCATGTTTGTCTTGAAGGTTTGGAAGTGTAGCAAGGCTGTCTTCTCGGAGAAAGAAACTGTTTTTCTTCTTTCTCTCACCAGAATCCTTTCCCCTGCCTAAAGCCCAGGTGCCCCAGTGGAGTGACTCTGACTTATGGGAGGTGTATTTCAACTTGTAAGTGCCTCAGGAAAAGCTTGTGAAACGAAAAAGCAACACATGAATCAGAGAAAACGGATGGGATTCTGTAACACTCAGTAACAGGGGAGATTTCTTCCCAGTCTTGTGTTTCGCCCTATATTCATGATGTTATTTAAAACATAAGCCAGGAACACCGCAAGCAAACCATCTTAGTGGAGCTTTATTATACATAAATATGAGGCAGAATCATACACAAAAATTTTGGAGTACATTTTTTGTAAATTTCTTTTTCAAAAGATTGTAAATAAAGATGAAGGCAGCAGTGTGCCCTGGTGGCCAAGAAGGCCAACGGGATCCTGGGGTGCATTAAGAAGAGCGTCTCCAGCAGGTCGAGGGAAGTGATCATCCCCCTATACAGAGCCCTGGTGAGGCCACATCTGGAGTACTGTGTCCAGTTCTGGGCTCCCCAGTACAAGAGGGATGTGGAGCTGCTGGAGAGAGTCCAGCGCAGGGCTACGAGGATGATCAGGGGCCTGGAACATCTGCCMTRTGAGSAAAGGCTGAGGGAGCTGGGYCTGTTCAGCCTGGAGAAGAGRAGGCTGAGGGGGGACCTGATCAGYGTGTATAAATACCTCAAGGGAGGCAGGGAGGAGGATGAGGCCGGCTTCTTTTCAGTGGTGGMCAGCGATAGGACTAGAGGAAACGGCCACAAGCTGAAGCACCAGAAGTTCCACAGGAACTTAAGGAAAAATTTCTTGACAGTGAGGGTGCCAGAGTCCTGGCACAGGTTGCCCAGAGAGGTTGTGGAGTCTCCTTCTCTGGAGATCTTCCAAACCCGCCTGGATGCAGCCCTGTGCCCCGTGCTCTAGCTGACCCTGTGTGTGCAGGAGTGTTGGACTACGTGACCTCTAGAGGTCCTTTCCAACCTTAAGCATTCTATGGTGAAAAACATTCTTTATCAGTTAAAAAGGCCTCGAATTTCATATTTTAAATCTAAAAAGACTTAGAGTAGACAAGATTGTACTAAGTTATGTGTTCAGGAATAGGTATGGCAGTGTTGCAATATTTGGCCATAACAGTTTATTTTGATGAAATATGACTTGTAAAGTCATGGCTTCAAATTTCAACAGCCTTTAAAATTTAAAGGTCATTAGTTTGAATTCCATTTTTGGACAGAAACTGAAAAATGAAGTTGTGGCCTTGTTTGTTTCCTTATAAGACCTTAATGATACGTTGCAGTGGGCTCGCAGCTGGCACAGATCTGACAGGAGAAGACAGCAAAGATCCTTTTTTGCCTTCAGTGACTGATGAGCTAAGGCTACCCCTGACGCAGCTCAGAGCAGCCAAAGGGCCCTTTTTACTACTGTACAGAAAGCAAGTGAGGTGTCGACAGCAAGTGGCTTGGTTAAGCCTGCTGTCTGTGGCAAAGGGGAGACGTGAACCTCCTCTGGTTTATACATAACCCGCTAGGAAATCTTTGCTGTTGTGACTGTTGCGGAGCTGGTCCATCCAGGAGGAACATCTACTGTAGCTGTGAAGAGCACCAGGTTTGACTTTTTATCTCCCTCCGTCTGTCTTGCCTAATGAATGTTTGGACTGCTGCCCAAAAATGTGATTAGCTAAAATAAACTAGTGTTCTAAAATAACCTAGTATAATAAAATAATAAAAAAGAAACTAAAACAAACTAACAATAAACTAGTGCTAAAATAAACAAAGTGTTTCACCAAACTAATTTCCCAGGCATTACCTTAGATTAGCCTCTCCAGGAACCTCTTGCAGTGCTGAAATCTCCCAGTTCATTTCTAAATGCCAGACTAAAAATAGAGGTTTTTTTACACTAGTGATAGTTTCAGCATCTCTCTCGAGTTTGATTCTACTGAGTTGTGGGTTAAATTAGTCATAGGTTCTGATGAGGTCACAAGAGCTACAGCCATGTAACCCCAGTGAAACAGAAGACCCCAACCCAAAAGTTTTAAATAAACACGTTTCTAAACAATTCTCTCACTAATACAGTTCCTGGGTCCTTTGCTAAGTACACTGCTATTAATAAAAGGGCTTCATTAATGCTGTATATCATTGCAGAACTATTTGGAGGACAGAACGGTGCAATCTGTGTTGCCATGCTGCTCATGTGCATAGAAAATTGGCAAAATTTTCAGACAGACATGGGAAAATTCTTTTAAATTTAAGGCAGCATCAAATTGGGATACTGCCTTTAATAAATTCCCTTTTTCTTTTCTTTCTAAGATTTCCACTGATACCAATTTCCCACATGAAATTCACCTCCGTGCTGAGCAGGTGCTCAGAATCACATGTCACGAAATGTTGTGAGGAGAAAGCCATAAACCTCGTTTGACTCATATGGGAAACATTCGGATTGCTTTGCAGTACCGAGCCAGCTTGGGAAGAGAGTTTGGGAAACGCATAGTGAGAATTTGGGAAAAACTCCAGCCTAAACACTCGCTGAAATCAAAGTTCGCCTGCTGATGAACTTGTGCAGTGGCAGTTGACTTGTGGGCAAGTCCCGGGGGAGCCGTAGGCAGCAGCTGCTCGGCCTGAGCCCCACCAGCCTCACTGGGCCCGGCTTTAGGACCTGGAAGCCACCAGTGCTCCCAAGTAACTCATAGCACCCACTGTGGGCACCACGGCTCTTCATTCCCACGGCGAGCACAGTGTTTTGGGGAATGGTTCAGCACAGCGAGGGCTCCAGGCTCCCCTGCCATTCCTTCCCAAGCTGGCTGCTTGGCAGCTTGGGAATCCCATCTCGCCAGCGGCCCGTGTGGATATTTCCCAGTTTGTCCCAGTGCGCACGCATTCCTTCTGCAAACTCTGGTCGCTTATGACTCTCTCCCAAATGAATCAGCTAAAAATTGCCCTGTTCTGAAATACTGTATGTCACTGGCAAAAAATTTACAAGCGAAACTTAGGCACAAGGCTTGATTTATTATTTTTGAAAATATCACAAGTCGTTTCTTAGAAGTGTTTTCTGTTTAACAACATACTTCGGCTTCAGTAAAACTGGCACTGTTCTCATCGTAGCCCCACACTTCCAACGTTAGGAACATAAAGTAATTATTTGTCTGTTCAACAAATTAGAAAAGATTTTATATTCTTCTCTTTAATTTGTTTTCTGGGAATTGCCATATGCCAGCAACCATAATCTCACACTGACTAAGTACATGTGCAGGCACCATGACCAGGCCGGCAGAAGTGCTCCTAACATTGTCATAGCAAAATGATTCCAAATATAGACTCTTTGACTGGCTTCTTGGGAGTACTTACATCTTCTGACTGTACAGAAGGTAGTTTAAACTGTGGGTGATCATATGGGCAATCAAAATCATTCTGCTGAGGCGAAGTACCCATCTTTCAGACACTGGAGACTCAGGCTGCCTGAAGCTGAATGTCTGCATATAACTGCAGATTATTCATGCTACAGCACCGTTCTGTTTCAGCTTGGTTAAAAAAAGCACATCTGACTGTCATCGTGATGTGTGACTCAAGATGAAAGATGAATGGGGGCTCCGTTTTCATGGGTGCTGAGTTACACCGAGCTGTAATTTATTACTACTATTCAAAATCCAGAGTTCAGAAATGAGAACTGACGTTCAAGCGATTCATAATGTAACTCRCCAGTCTGCTCCACAGTCTAGCCTGAGTTCAGAGCTGCTTTGGCCATCAAAGATCACAATGTAGGACACCCCAAGTGCAGCCCGAAAGGGCAAACTCACTGCTGTACTCATTGACTGCATGAGTGGYCTTAAGGAAAAGGGGTGCAGGATTCAGCACAGGTAACTTTTGGCCATGTAAAATTAGCCATGGATTCAAAGATGTTGGAGGGCAGCTCATCGCAGCCTAAGCKAGATGGAAAGCGTAGGCCTTGAGGGGAGCTTAAAAACAGGCTGGCTGCCGGAGAGGTGCCCAGACACCAGTGCAGSCCTGAACTCCAAACTTTGCGAAGAGGCACACTGCGGTCTGAGGACATCTCCTGTCCAAGAATGGATACTGGAAGATTAATGCTCAAGATTAACAGTTATTTTGTTGTTTTAGTCCTCTT